TAAAGTGGATTTTTAAGCAAAAATTGATGGATTAAAAAATTAAATTTTCTTTAATCATAGATCTTAATATCTCTGCGATTGACTACAACTTTGAACAGAGACAGAGAGAGAAACATTAACCAGCAATTGAAATAGTAAACAGCATTATTATCCCTCAGATCCCTGAGTACCTCTTCACCAGTTTCGATGGTAAGAATGTTTTCCGCAATAGCTGGCTCTAGCCGTTTTAAAGGCGTTGGCTACTGCTAAGACCGGAAGCGGTAGTCCCTTTATTATGGAGGCACCGAATACGTGGGCTACCGTGGCGTCCTTTGAAAGGACGGACAAACTGCATTCATGCCTTCTACGGATTCGAATCCGAGCCCTGCGGTACGGCAGTCAAAGTTACTAACCATTTTCCCATTTGGGTGGCTCCTTGGTAAGAGTAATAGCACATTAATAGCTACATTATGTCAACCATTGTTAGACATTCAGCACACTTTAATTATAAATCGCTACTTAACTCTTCTCCAACTGATTTCTTTTTACCATTTTCTATCCCTTTGGTAATTTAGTTTTTTTGAAAACATTATTAATGCATTGTTCGGAAGAAGATTTTCATTTGTTTTCAATAACTCAGAGTATTTTAATAGTAATACTAACGTATGATAGGGAATGTCGGCGAAATGGAAAAATGGAAACCGATTACCGGGTGTGGCAATTCGGAGCATGATTTTACTGTAATTCCTTTGTCTTGTGCTACTATAAAGTACATGATATTATCATAAATTCTAGATGATTTTTTCAAACAATTGGGATGAGAGTATTGTTGTTGCTTAATTCATTATGGCAAAGCACACTAGAACTATCTGCAAATAGAAAGGATGTCTCCGTGGAGGACTTTCTGGTTGAAGCCAGATCGCATACATGATATGGCGTTATCCGAGAACAATATCTTTCACTTTGTTCTAATTGTCTCATAAGCCTTTTCTCAGAAATGCTGGAAGTTCCCCAATTCCATGGTAATTTATACAGAGTCCCTTTTAGCACATAAGCACCGAAGCTTTTCCAAAAACCAACAAGTTTTTGTTTATCACTGACTGGCATACTGCAACAGTATAGCACGGTTATGTATTTCATTGACGTTTCGGCGCCCTTCACCGAATACTTTATGTTTATAATTGAGAGAGCCATCTAATGTAGCTCGAGTCAATTTTATCTGCATTGCATATTTCATCAGATCCAAATTTATTCTGAAGTTTAATGAATTTAACGGATTTCCATTGTCTTGGTTTAAAATATCGACCTTTTTTTTTTCTTCATTTTTATTTCATACCTGATTTTTTTTCATGATATCTACCTATCTGCGACTTTAAAATTTGTGTGAACCATCCTTTCAGTTAACTCTTCTGATCGTCCAGTTACATATACAACAGACTTTCTCCATTGTAACTGCAAAAGATTGAGAGCCGTTTCCGCAGTTGGTTTCTTCCCTTCTTTTCTTTTTATATTATTCCTCAGACTTATTATCCCACTCTCCATAATGTTGCTTTATTTCATTGAAATCATAGCTACTAGATACCTCTAAATGTTTCCAGTTGAGGTAAATTATGTTAAGCATTTATAGAGCAAATACTTTTATCGTTTAAATAAAGATCAACCTTTCCTAAGAGTACTAAATATACACATGCGAAATTAGAAATTATTCACTATTAAGCGACATAACGCAATGCACAACAAGAATCTAATTCAAACTCACGCCTTTCCATGTCATTAGAAAATAACTTAGGCTTTGGAAAGTGGAGTAGCTACTCAAGCCTGCCCTTTAAAATATCATTTCGATTATTAAAATTTTTTCCAATAACTATCCCAGTGAAACGGAAGTTTTTCTGCAATAGGTAAAGTGATTAGGTGGCTGTATAATAGTTTTAATTCCTTTTCTTTACAGTTTGCCTCAAACAGAAGGTAATCTCAATTAACACATGGTTCGAATTTTACATACATACATATTCCTAAAGCATTCTAGATCTTTAAGCCTGAACTCTCCTGAATTTTTAAATAATTGATAGAGGAATTTGTCCATAGTAGTAATTTTCTCAAACATGTAATTAGATCGTCATCAAATCATAATCTCTTATTTTCTGCTTCTTCAAAACGGACTATATGATTAGAGAAGTAATTGAGCTAATTCGTTTAAATATTATATTTGCTTTATAATTTTAAAAAAAGTTCAGCTCACACACATTTTCAAACTTCTTTTTCTTTTTGTGGATAAAAATTTCCAACCATTTACGCTCGTTTAGTCTCGTATTAAAACTTTGCACCCGCACACCTTTTTCTTATGAAAACAGAAAAAACAGTGCCCACGAGCTCGCTAATAAAACTTCGAATATATATATATATAGATAGATATGAAGAAAAAGAAATCGCATTTTGCTCCTTTAGTCTTTTTTTTAAGCACTTTCCTAAATGAACTGGAAAAAACCAATAGCTTTGGAAGCGGTTGTTGCAGCGCGGTTGAATTCAACGTAAAGCGTTTTTTTCCCTTTTTTTGTGATGGTTTTCTTTTGCGTTTCTCTCTTACGACTTTTAATCGGCTTAATATTTTTTGACCCCATTCTTCCTCATTTCCTGTCTTACCTTTCTACTTTTCTTGTGAGTTTAAATCATGACTATAAAACTGATTTCTGGAAGTTTGTTTTCGAGCTTTCTTTTTATTTTTTGTTCCTTTTAAAATTATCTCGAATGATAAAGTTACAAATAATTTTCTTTATTTTTACTTTGTCTTTGTTATCTTTCGCACGTTTTTTCATTTGAGGCTCAAAGATTTGGTATGTATGCATATTCGTATTGGATTCTAAAAAACACAGAAATTCAGTTTAAATTTCTAACTGCATGTTAGCGTAGCTTTACTGTTAAAGATAACGTCATCAGAATATTTTAATTAGTAATTACGTAATTGTATTGGCAATAAAGTTTTAATTATTGGTTTAAACATCGAATATTTTATTTATGATTTAATATCTAGCTTGTTAACTTTTAACTCTTATGAATTTAACTGAGTTGTCTAACAATAATATAAGAACAAGTCCAAGAATTTCATTGTGGCGAGCAGAGCAGGATTGCGTTTGTCACTGGCATGGGTCTTCAGTATCTTATAGATGACAATATGATAGTATGAGCTCTATTCCTTCCCACTTTTGAAGGAAAATCCTCCGGGAGCGGATTTAAAGATCTCCCACAGCTCTTTTCCTATCACTAAGCCTCTCTATGAAACTCTCGGCTTTTTTTGCAAGCAGAAACACGTCTGCGAGGGTGGTATGCTTGTAAACAGCAACGAAGCTGCATATGATCTACTTTTTATTCGGTATTTGTACATATATTGCAACTGTTGTGTCATTTTTTTTTTTTTTTTGAACAATTTCCTCAGGTAAGTTGGCCGCCTCTTTGAGCGACATGTTGTGATACTTTTTTTCGATTTACTTATTTGATTCAATAATTGTGCCTGCGATACATGTGTCCAGACTTTGATTTAGCAATACATAAAACCGCCCACCAGCGGCCGAGCGGTAAAGTCGCTGAACACTGGGTAGTTCGGTCCGAGGTTTGAATCCCGGGAACGGGCTGACTGCATGGGCGTTTTCGTGGTTTTCCCCATGTGTAAACGTGTATACGAGCTAGTTTCCCTTAGAAAGTCCTCCACGAAGGCATCCCTCCTCTTAGGCAGATAGCCCTCGAGGCTTTGCCATAATCACACACAATACATAAAACCTCTATTTATTTTCCCATCCCAGTTAAAGGCACACTGAGATATATTTGTCCCATCCCTATTTGCTCCTGAAATGTAAACTTTTTCTATAATATTTTACCATATTTATTGTTAAAAACCCATATTTGTCTCAAATAATCTAAAACCAAAGAAAAATAAATTGGGTCCCAAGGGGTTAAGTGCCTCCCTCTTTCTGCCGCAAAGATACAAAGCCTTGCAAACATTTAAGCCATCTCCGATATTTGGACACTGTCCCAGCGCTATAGCAGCCAGCATTGCTAGCAAGTATAGAAATTCCGGCGACTTATGCCTAGCTTAAATATTAAATGTCTTATCTTGAAATGTCGGTTTAAATATTTATAAGTTTTAATTTATGATAAAGGTATTTCAGTTTCTAAGTAAAGTTTAGCTAAAATTGGTCAAATAAATTTAATAAATAATCTAAATAAATTTTAGGTAAAAATTTATATTAACTATTAATTCTATGGTGATTCCCATAAAAAGAAAATAAATCAGATGTTTTGATAAACAGCTTTGCCAAAATATAAAGCTGATTTTGATAGTCAGTGATATACATATGCATTTTATGTGAGAGTGAACCTCTACATTTAAACTTTCTACAGAAAATTTTTTAACTAATGTATCAAGTATACAAAAGCATAGTTTAAAAACATAATATTAAATTATACGTTACTCACATGAACTCAAAAACCGTACTTCCTAAGCTGATTGATTTGATTCAAAAGAAAGCACAATAACGGCATATTTTTCTTTTCGCAACCAAATATTTGTGCTATTTTGTGCAAGGCTGTTTTGCCTTCCATATTGTAAATATTTCTCCGATTGACTATCTTTCATATGAATGCCAAAGTTTTCCAAGACGAAACATTTTTCATTTCTTCACTGCAAACAAATAATAAATATTTCTCTACAAATATTATTGATGATGAAAAAATGAATTCAAGATTTAAAAAAAAATGCTCTTTTTTAATATTCATATGGGTGTAAGGTTATTTTGAAATATTCGTAGAATTAAAATAAACAATATTATTTAATTTTAAGCAGGCTATGGAAAACCAGAAACACCTATATCTTATATCTTCCTTCATACCACTCATAAAATGTTCTTCTGTACTTCCACATTCAAATACCCGGTTGTGTGTCAATTATATGCATATGTGTATTATGTATACATTGCAGTAATCATATATATTTGTATTTTCTTTGATATTAGAATTTTTCTTTCATTCAGCCAAGTGTAGTCTCGATTGTGGGATTCATGGTCGATGCGAGGAAGGACGTTGTCACTGTGACCAGGGTTGGGCAGGTCACAGGTGTGACCAACGTACGTGCGACCCGCGTTGCCTGGAGCATGGTCAGTGTAACAACGGAACTTGCGTCTGCATTCAAGGATGGATGGGAAGACACTGCACTCTAGGTTAGTTTGACTGAGAAGTAATATTTCCCTGTTTTCAAATATCTTGTGACATGAAACTTAAAATTCAATTTTAAGAGAATATTCAGCTTTGTAATTTCTGTGTTCAATGTGCCATATTTCCCTGGTTTTTGAAGTATTTTATGACCTGGAATTTAAATAGTACTTACGGTTTAGTGCAATTGCCTTGGCATAGTTTGGTGACTTCTATGGAAGGAAACGTATGATGGCGTATACAAGAATTATTTATTATACTCATAAATTCTATTACATACATATTTTACATTTCAGTTATGTATCTATCTCAAAAAGCAATTAGTAAACCAATTTAGTTCGTAGTTTTATTTCCCCCTTTAGTTTTGCTGGAAATCTCGAGGCAATCTCTTTGGAAATGAACTCAAAGCAGTCGTTCCATTTAGCTATTTTTGAGACAAAGTACTATACTGCTGCAGGAATGTTACTGCAGTTTCTTGCATTGGAGACAAATCCCATAAGCTCAAAATTAAATATTTAAGACAAAAATATGCTACAAATTCCCCGTAAAATCTCTTGCAATTTGGAATGAAAAAAAAAAAAAAAAGAAATTACATGAAATAAGCGAAGTTACCTGCCAAAAATGAAGAATAGTTATGCGCATGGCTGCTAAAGTTAGGCGCATTCTGAAAATTTGGGGATTTTTATCAAGGTGCTTGCGCTAGTACGTAAGTACAACTTAAAATTCAGTTGCACTCATATTGCATATTAATCTTACTCATTTGTAGATTTCTCATGTCGCATTTTAGACACAAAAATAATTGTTGTAGCTTCCGAATACATTGACGATTTCACCATTTGAAACAAGTGTCTATGCTACGAATTTCAGTATAATTTTAATTGATTAAGTAAATGAGATATTTTAAAGATAAAATTTCTGATAGCGACCTCTATTTCTAAATAAGTTTTTAAATTTAACGAAATATGTTAAAACTTAATGTATCGAAACAGATGGGTGTCCCAGGACTTGCAATAATCATGGGCAATGCTCCAAAGACGCGAATGTTTGGTCATGCAGGTGCCATGAAGGATGGGGTGGACATGACTGCAGCGTACCTCAGGAAACGAACTGCAATGATGAAATTGACAATGATGCTGGTAAAGTTCGAATTTTTTTATTTTACTGTTTAATAACTGAATGTTAAGTCCTAAATATAACCTATTAAACTCACGTCTAAACTATATTTCCCATTTTTAATGACCCAGTTTCTGTGTCTTTATTTGATTCTTTGCTTCTTATATTTTAACACCATCGGGAAACATAAGTATCGGATGGTCCGAAATAAACCAAAGCAGACATGAGAGACTTCACTTGTGGTTTATCTTGGGCCACTCGATATTTTAACTCACATAAATTTTGAAGTCGCTGATATGCTTCTGACGATTAATCACGCGAATTTATGAAAACGCTGTAAAAAACATACTTAAAATTAAATTAATTGTGTGAGCTTCGAAAGAATTTTTCTTTTGTTCAAATAGATGGCCTGGTAGACTGTGCTGACAGCGAATGTTGTAACAAAGGTCAGTGTCAGGACAGTTTAATGTGCATGTCTTCTCCGGATCCTTTGGACATCCTCCTCCGGAAACAGCCCCCAGCAGTTACTGCTTCCTTCTACCAAAAAATGAAATTTCTCATTGAGGAACAGAGTGTTCAAAGTTACGCCCATAAAGATGAATATTCTGAAAGGTAAGATGATGCTGACTGCAATTATTTAATTTCCTTTATTTTTATATCATAGTGTCTTTCAGTTAATTTTTATAACAGTTTATAATATTTTATTGAACAATGTAAGTACTTAAAAATTTTATAATTCTAGAAAAATCTTATATTACAAAAAGAAAAAAAGAAACAAAATCTGTAACTTTAGCATTATTATTTTTCTTCTGTTATTTAAAGCAGCGGATAACCCATCGAGTATGAAAATTCACTAAAAATCAGAATTTATTAAATGTGTTTTTATATGGTACTTTCCGTATATTTAATAAAATAAAATTTCCATACATTTTAATGCATACAGAAATTTTAGGGATAGTTTTCCATACTCATGATAAATTAAATCAGTAGCACAGTTCATACGTCATAAATGTGTGCAATAAAATCACATGTAATGCAAATTTGCATTTTTGAGCAGAATTTCAACGCATCCAAAATCCTATGAAACAAATTACAGTATATATTAATAAAAATGTATTCTTTTGTTACTAAAACTGCTTATGAGAAATTGTCCAAATTAGACTTTTTATCATCCTGACGGAAATTTGAAAATTAATACACGGATGAGTGATAAAAACGAAAATTTTATCCTTTTAGAGTATTATATTCGCGGGTTTTACAAATGATATTTTTTCTTTTATTCTGTTTTTGAAAACCTTCCTTTGAATCATGGAAGTACAAGTTTTTAGCCTGTTAAAATGTAATCATAACGTGACGTTCTTGATTTATTGCTACTCTTACATTTACAATAAATTTAAGGTGATTATTTTTACGAATGTCGAGAAGTTATAAGATTAATTGCACCGCATGTTGCAGTAATTTATTAGGTGTGAAAAGTTTTCAGTGTAATGATTGATCCACTTTTAAACCGTAAACGTATTATCCCTTGCTCTTTTTTTCCCTTTGATAAGAAAGAAGTTTTATTAAGATATTCTCCATTCATTTTTATTCATTTTTATTTTAAAATTGTGAACCCTCTTCGATTTCTTTCGCTCCCTCTCTCTCCTTTTTCTATTTTATTTTTATTTACTTATTTTATTTTTTTTTACATTTTGGCACTCCACAGAATCCAGTAAATTGTGTTACGATACGCCGCTGATATGCTTCTGAACGCCGTCTTCTATCGATAATACGCTTTGATTCAAGTTTCTTTCGCACTTTTTTGAAAAGTTTGTTTCGTTTCCTTGGCAACAAGCATACCCTCATTCCAAGCCTCTTTGTTGTCACGGTAACGTCGCTATTCGTTACGAAATTTTGAATCTGTTGAGTGGCAATCTTTTAAAACAAAGAAAATATTATGTTGGCTTTTACTCAGAGACATTCTTTTCCAGTCCTTGTTAAATTTTTTAATGATTTAGTTTTGTAGAAAATCTTCCACTCATATGCAGTTTAAGTGAAATGTTGCGTTCACAAATGTCTCTTAAAAATACATTTTTGTTAATTGTTATTCCTATATAGCGAAACAGAATGTCGTTCTATGATACTTAGGCATTGTTAAGCCCAGATTTTATCTTCTTAACATCATAATTCTACTTCAGGTTTGTTTTAGACGCTTACAATTAAACATAAACACTTTTTCTGTTTTTTACCTTATAAGAAAATATAATTTTTAACATTGTTAATCCGACTGGTCTAACTTTTTTATCATAACAAAACTTTATAACTGTCCGAACACCTTTGAATTTGTAAAACTTTTTTATAAATAATCATTCCTGCACTCTTTGATTTTTTACGATCCATCAAAAACTGATAAATAATAATCTTAGTTTTTTAATGCTTTGCATTTCTCTTAAAAATAAGTCTTACTCAAAGCTGATATTATTGATATCATTTTATATAAAATGCTAATTGTGCTTTTAAATGAAATGGAAAATACATTTATTTTATTGAAATTCAGAGTAATATAATTAAGTAATATTACATCTTTATTATAAGTTAGGAAAACAACAGTTTTTTCTATAAATTTTCAAGTATTGATATGACGGATTTTATTAATACTTACATGATTCATAAGCCTCAGCTTATTTTGTATGTGTAAAAGTGTATATTTTATGTATTTACTTCATTTATGTGTTCTGTGTTATATGTCCTGTGTGTCCGTATGAGTCATGTCACTTGACTCAATGTTTTGTGTCTGTGTTGTCCTGTGTCCAATTGTCCGTCAGATCACACGGAGTATGTCTCGATCCCGTCCTGTCACCAGGCAGCCTGTATTTTGTGTGTCTATTTATGTGTTCGTTTTCATGTTTCATGTGTGTGTGTTTTCCGGCAGAGAGCTAAACAGGGCTAGTGGGATAACCCAATTATGTGGTTGTTTTCATTAAACACTTATACCATTAAAGAAAATTATATTAAATACGTTTTTTACTGTAGGCGAACAAATAAGAAACTATGCTATAAACAGATGTTAAGCTTCAAAATACATGCAAATCTGTATTATTTTTATGTCTTTATACATAATATGAGATGTGAAAAATCACATCTATCCGCTTAGTATCCAAATGCTACTTTTAAAGAGACCACTTTAAACACTTTTAAAGAGAATTGAAAACACGTGCTATAGTAGTCTACAACTGAATAAAATAATGAAACAGAAAGAAATTAGCTCTAAAAGTACACGCTTATTATACAATATTTTAAAACATAATTCACCTAGCTTGTCGAAAAGTGCAAATTTTATCTTTACATCACCACTGATAATTGTAGCAAAGATAAGATTTCGGATTTAAACAGTTAAGTAGTGGATTTAAACAGTTTTCATCAGTGGTGTTAACGCTGAATTTCAGTTCGCGTTAAAATACTGCGACTGCTGATAAATTTAAAGATATTTATTATATGTCTCAGTCCTGCTTAGATTTCTCAGCTTATATGTTCAATGTGGGTGTCTGTGCGAAATTATTTGTATGTCTTTGTGTTGTTTCTGAGTACCAGGTTTGTCATTTGGATGTATTGACAGTAGGCGTGGTTGAAAAACTAAAACTAAAAAAAAAAAAAAGAAAAAAAAACACTTTATATTTTTAATGCTTATTTCTTAGAAAAGCCTTATTTAAAATACTCCACATACGTGACCTTCGTGACTTTTTTATTTCAAGATAACTTAAAAGCTCAGTAAAATGCTGTGGAGGGGAGTATTATCTCCCGATAAAAAGTGGTCTTAAAAGTAGAAAATGCGAAGGCCACATAATACATCTTTATTCAATAAAATCTTCAAGATAAGACTGGTCTCTGAAAAAGTAAAATTCTGATTTTTAAGGGAAGTTAGGGTTACTCATTTCATTTATTTCTGCTACTTAGGGCTTCGGTTATAATCCATGAATGATTGATTATACGAACTAATATCAATAACTGAGATTGTTGAGAAATGTGTTTTCTCACTTGAGTCCATCATTATAAATCAGTTTAAAATCTGATAATAAAAATATATTTTGCCTCTGAGGAGATATTTGCATGCTAGTGAAAAAAAGGTATATTTTTTGAGATTTTGATCTTCTGCCAGGTATTATAATCAATTCTTTCTTACCTTAACTTAAGCTATAAAATAAATTTAAAATAATTTTTAATTTTTATATGGTATTTTTAATGTACTGAAGAATTCTTATATATTCAAAAATGAGATTTGGGTTACAGATTTGATATATTATAACGATACTGAGAGGAAACAGCCTATGAAGTCATAGATTTCGAAATTATGCAAGTTATTTTTCTAGTGGCGGGCACAATTCGTCATGGACGTTGGTCATTACTAAGGCCGGAAGTGGTGGTCCCTTTATTATGGAGTCCCCTAATAGGTGGGTCATCGTTGCATCATGTAAGGGAGCAGACAATTTACATCCATGTCTTCTCCGGGATTCGAACCCGGAAGCTTCGGTATGGTAGTCAGAGTCACTAACCACTTTCCCGTCTGGGAGGCAACTGTAGGAGCAGAATCATTCATGCGGTATTTATGACCATCCATATTTTCCTTTTGGAGCGACCTACGAACAGTGTCTTATGATGAGATCTTAACGAGCAAAATTCAAGTGCGTCCATTCAGAACTATCTTAACTCATAGGCCTGATGGGCACTTGCCTGGGGGCTCGAAGAGCATAGGTGCCCTCTGCTAACCTATATATATTTCGTTTCCGGAAGTAATTTTTGTAGGGACCCTAACCCACAGGTTCGCCTAAGGGCCCATAATGCTGTTAAGACGCCATTGTGTGTGAAGACACCCTATGTGAGCCCTTTCATGATAACTGCGAGAAAGACTTGTACTGGCAAACCAAAGATTTGAAATAATGAATTCGGTCACTCATTAACTGTAATGTAATTATTAGTATATGTTGTTCTTAGTATTTCGATATTTTAGTTTACCTTGTCATTGGAAACAAATAAAAAGGACGAGAATCCTTTTTCCACTGTTCAAGTTTTTTGGTGTCCCCCCCCGTCATGCAGACAGCATATTTTCAGTTCATCTGTTATTTCAATACATATGTATAAACAGTTTTATAAATGTATTTATCAACAGTAAAATTTTTCGATGAACTTCATTAAGCATGATCTTACCTTTCAAGAGTTGAATGAATCTTTTTAAGACATACGCTTTTTAGAATCTGGAAATGAATTCATTTTCTTTAAAATTACTTTCTCCTGGTAAGCGTCTATACAGCGTTCTTTCCTTCATGTCTGCTGTCAATACTGTGAACAAATGTGTTGTGAACCGTCCTGATCTGGCTGCCGCCTTTCCCCCTGCGAATACGTGGGGCTGGAATGGGGGTGCTGGTGACAGCGTCTTGCGTGTTTTATGTATCTACCCTCATGTTTGTGCTTGTCTTTATTTGAAAACAATTGTCTGTGTTTCTATGACAACAAAAAGAAAATATCAGCAGCCTTTTAAGCTGCTTTGTTTGTACATATTTATAAATCATTTAAAGAAATCAATAATTTAATTAACTTTCTTTAATCTGTTCTTGATTTTATTTATGATGATCATTCTTATGTGCGTCTGTGTTTCTGTTAGTGCGTGTATTGAGTTTCTTGTCTGTGCTGCCTTGACACTTCTCTGATAATGCCTCTCGTTTTCCTCATCTGGGTAATAATTATCAAAACGGGGATTGGTTTAGTTATGTTTCTAGATGTACAACATTTATTTGATATACTTTTAATGACTACTCTAAGTTAAGAAACATAATGTACATCACAGTTATAAAATTAACCATATTATTTCTTACATTTCTTTACTACTTGAACTGTGTTAAAAAGAAGTTTCAAGACGCACACGTGAACGCCAAGAATATTAAACTTGGCGTATTTTATGTATGTGATTTGTGTTTTGTGCGTTTGTGTGCGTGTGTGTGTGTGTTTCTCTGCTCCTATCATAGTGCTGACTTGTACGTTTTCATGTCCCTGCTTTTTGCTTTGTTCCGATTGACCAATTGGTAGCCAGTTCTGGAGTGCCTTCGTCAAGAGGTGAGTAAATTCCTCTCCAAAAATCCTTTAAAAAGTCTCTCCTTTCTCTTTTACCTTTGCACTCCCCTTTTTACACTAGCTGTATATACCCTTTTCAATGCCTCGTATATTCGTAGAATTTTTATACTCGTGGCTTTTTGATTAATTGTGTCATAAATTTAAAATCAAGCCACTTACTTTTTTTGCTAAGCTATCTTAATATGAAATGCTACGTAGCTTACTTTAAAAAATATACAAAGTAATTTATATGTGAAAACATTTCTATGGAACAAAAGCTAAAATATTTTGCAGTAAAATAAAATCACTAAAGTGCTTCTAGAGAAAATTATATTTGCACTTGAACCTTGTAGCGTTTAAAGACTACAGATGAAAATATACTTAAATTTTAAAACAGACGCTTCACAGATATGAAATGTGCAGCATTTAGTTAACAAAACAAATTGAATGCAGTTTCCAAACTCAAATAGTTGGTTACTAGAAAGAATAAAGTAAAATAAAAATCATTATTTCAAAAATATATAAATTTAAAAATAGGAAATTAAGTAAAACAACCACAAAAGTTTCAGGTCTGACTATATAAGTATCCCGCGTTCTTTTAAACTGGAATACTTATTCAATAAAGTAGTGGAAAACTTTCTCTTCGAAATAAAAATGTTATTAAATCGTTACATTTTTTTAAACTGATCTCCTTATTTAGAACGAAATCGATTGAGTATAAGAAAATTTATTCTAAGTTGTTAATTATAAAGTCAACTTTTAAGTCGACTGTAAATGGCCATAATATTCAAATATCTACAGACGATATCAGATAAAATACTGGTTAAATGTTAAGAAAATACTGCAGAAATATTACGTATCGCTATTAAGACTTAAAGGAATATTGCGTTAAAAATTGCTTACAAGAGCGGTATGAAAATTGATGTCTTAATTAAAATCCATTTTGTGTATAGAAACTTCAAATATGCACATTAAAATTAAAACAGTCAGATTACAAAATGGTTTAAAATAACTTGTCTAAGATTAAAAAATCTGGCATTACAGTGATTGTAGTTTAAATAAAGTAAACAGATATTCCATTTAAATTTCTGTTTTAGTATCACTAATGAGATCTACAACAAATTAATTCTTGCTTCATTATAATTCAAAACAGATTTTGGTACATCTTAAGCTCAAATAGTAATTCAAAAAGGAATATTGTTTCCAAGCATCTTTAAATTCCTGTAAAAGAATGAAAACTTTCCTGTGTTTTTAGTAAAAAATGAAATTATAAACATTATTTTTAATACGGTTTTGTAATTTTCTTGTAATTCAAAATGTTGGTATTTCTTAATCTTATTTTTCAAAATAAAACACTTCCCTAAATCTCCAGAAATAAAAAGGAAAGGGAAATAAGCACTATAAAACAAATTCTAAAAGGGAATATTATTTTGGTAAATTTTTAAAATTATGTAACAGAAAAATACGCTTACCTGTATTCTTAGAGATAATGAAGAAATAAAATAATAAACGTCATCAAACCGAATTATAAATGGTAGCGTATAATTTATCAAAAAGCCACGATTTTCCCACCGCCAGGTCTGGCCTCTGCTACCTGTTAATGAAAAACATTTCCTGTAAAAAATATATGTAAATTAAAGATATATACATCCACCGTACCTTTTCAAATCCTGTGTTTTTCTGAATCCCCATTTGAAAGGAATTAGTCCTTTGTACGGGCAGTAGTAAAAAGTATGTGTTTGTCATGATCTGTCCTAGCTCCGTGTGATGTCATATTTTGTGTTTTTATTATTGGTATTACATTATCCCTATATTACTTTTATTACTAATCATGCCTTGGCTTTAATGTGATTGAACTGTTTTGTATTTATCCTATGCTGAGTCACAGTAGTTGTGACTGTGTGTGTGGCAAAAGTGGTTAATTTTCGTTAAAGCGCTTTTAGCTGTTGTTTATTTTGTGTATTAATTTATTGCGTAGATTTTTGTTTTTTGTAAAAACTGTATGATGGTAATAAAATGTGTTTCTTTATTCCTCAAATTAGAGCTGCTTTTAAGTGCACTTTTATGTACTGCTGCTTTTGTTTTTAGAGAAGTACTGTTTCAACAAATTTCAGTAGTTTTAGCATCGATTCGAAGCATATGACAAGAAGACTCTGTTAAAAGCTTATCCACTAAATGTATTAGAATTTTTTTATAGATAAATTTGCTACATTCTAAGATCTGTTTGTAAAAGAAGGCATTTATTCATGCCTGTATGTCTTTGCATGCTCATAAGGGAAATTTAATACTACATATAATATTTGATAAATCTGTATACATTCAAGAAAGACAGCTGTAGAGAAGCTGTAATACTTAAGAATCACCTACTTGAGAAAGAAAACACTTGAAAAATATGTACAATGTACAAGTTATGAATTCTGAGAATATCACTCAGAAATCACATTTTGGATTTTGTAAACTCATGTATTAAGAACTTAAGATTACTGAATTTTATTTATTCCAAATTGCTGAGGATTAAGAACTTCAGCGACCCTGGCTCAAAGCCAAACGCATGATGTTTAAAAATATTTCGCACACACCTGCTCTACAATTAGAAAGATTTCTTACATATGTCAGTATTGAAAATGAAAATTTACCTTAAATTGCAATATGGAAATTGATTAAATGCATTCTCAAGATGTCTATAAATATTTTATAATACGCTTAGGCAATCACTATTATCAGTTCAATTAGATTAAAATGGATTAGATATTGTCATAATAATCATGGACACTGGAATCTTCAAAGCGCACAAGAACATGCACCTCCAATTTCTAATACACTATAGATACTCCCTGATATGTTTTAAGCAGTATTACTCTTGATAGCCGTGTACATACATAGGCACATATAATATGATTTTGATACTGATACGTGTTATTTGATCTCAACCTGTAATCTTATTTCAAATGGCCTTACAACATAATGCATTCGTATATAACGGTCAATAACCGTTTGCCATTTATACGTCTCATCACCGAGAACGTTAATCAATGTAAACCACATGGCGATAGAATTACAGCCTTAGGAAAGAGAAAGCTGCAGGCCATCTCTAGGATTCGAGCCTGGATTCAACGCTTCGGCAGCCAATATTGATAACCACTATATCACTATCAGAGGGCTTCTTAACTTATAATAGGACTGTCTCAAATGCATACCTTAGTAATGAGAAAAAACGCTAAGAAACAACTTACTAAAATTTCGAAAGCAGAAGATTTTTCCCCAAACTTATTAGAATCCAGATAAATATTATTTACACAAGGTAAATGGATTCTACTTGTCCGCCAATTTGCAGATATTTTTGTCACATTTAACATTTTGCCGCTCATGAATGAGCTCAGCTCGCATTCTAGTTCCGCAGCGCAGTGGGCGGAGCGAAGACAGCTCACATTATAAATTTACGACTCATATCATGCGTATTTGGGAAGAAATAATTGGTTAATTTCGCAACCACTGAAGGGTTAATAAAATAATTTAAATTTATGCATATGATTAATTGCATTTTTATTAATATAATACGTTAGAAACAATGATAGAATTTCTCGATAATACTAAGCCAGTCAATAAATAAATAAAAGATAAAAGGAATTATTATTTCCGGCACTTTAGTTACTGATAAATAAGTACTTAGGAATGCACACTGAACCTAATCCGCTGCGATCTAATTACGTACGTATTTTAAGAGCTGCGTATGTTCAATATAAATAATATTCTTATATCTGAGTAGTGAGAATGAGGCTATAAATAATTATCTGAACTTTACCTTACGAAATGTATCTCTCCATATGACGCCGAATATTGCTGTAAAGCACATTAAAATTACTACTGGGAACTTGTAAGTTAGCTTCTTCCGAATTCATTTTAAACTGCTTCTTTCACAATCAATCGTCCAATAGGCATCATTAGTTTGAGACCATCTATTTTAATCCATTAACGGAAGGCTCTGAAAGCAACTAAGGCTTTAATTTACAGCTGATGTAGCTAGTACAAATGTAACTTGGAAATTATGGAGCATGACATTTCAAAAGAAAGCTATGGCGTAGATAGAGTATTATGAAACCGGTGACAGGTAGAACAGTAAAATTACTTTTGGAATCAATTTCATACTCAGCAGTTCGACTGAAAACTATTTCTGGAATTTCATTCCCGATATTCTTCGTCGTAACTGAATGCAATATTGCTACCGCCAAAGAAAATATAATACACGTGAGAAGAAGAAAATTCAATTTTCAAATCGAAAAAAATTTGAATGAATTGATGTATAAAACAGGGGAGAAAAGAGTTCAGATTTGAATTTCTCGATTTGGAATAAAAATTTGACTTTTTTTTTAACTCCTTCAGTTCAAATCAGTTTATTGTCAACTAAGATTTTTCTTTATTTACTTATTTATTTTCTGTTTTCTAAATACATATTTCAGTGGAAAATTCTCCGTCTGATGTAATAAAACTGTTTTTGGATTTTACCAAAATGGAAAATGTAATTTCATTTTTATTCTCTATACATTCTTCGCCTTGCATGTATGCGCGCTTTTTTTATAAATATATTTAATTCATTTTTTTGTCGCAAGAACGAAACTTTAATTGAGAGACGCTCTTAAAAATACGAAATTTTCTTCAGATCTGCCTCGTCATTTCTCATATAAATGTACATTTTTCTGTTCATTTTTTAAATAACTTTAGTTTTCCTTTGCTTTTATCAATTCCAAATTTATGCGAAACGTTTCATATTAAAATAAATGAATTGTTTTAGATAATCCCATATTCTATAGTACTTAATCCAGTTTTTTAATATAGTTTTTAATCCAGTTTATATTTTTTATGAGTAACATTTTTTTCAGCAGCTGTTTTTGTACTCAGTAACTGACAACTATACAAAATTTAGACTCTCATTTATACACATTAAACTAATCCAGTGTAGAAATTATTATAAAAAATATGCATTTAGTTCAGTTGATGTTGATATT